AGAGAGAGAGAGAGAGAGAGAGAGAGAGAGAGAGAGAGAGAGAGAGAGAGAGAGAGAGAGAGAGAGAGAGAGAGTTGACATTGAGACTTGGTGACTTTTGGGCTTCACCCAGTTCAGTGACATTGCCACTTGACATTGTACGAGCAACGAGATTGGGGATACATTGGAGACTGGGTTCATCGGGCTGTGGTGGCTGATCCTCCCTATCTCCTCCTCCCTTCGTCTCTTCTCCCCCATTTCGTTCATAGTTGTATTCGGACTCGGCGCATCTTCCGTGTTTGCTGCGCTGAGTCCATTCACACTGAGTGGTGATTGGTCGTTGTCAGGTCTTGTCCGTATCCATGCTGAGTCAGATCTTGGTATTTCAGTCTTCCACTGTGCTATTTTTGTATTGTCTCTGAGTGGTCGGTTCTTGGTTCTCATCTACGCCATAAGGCATGCGACAGTTCTGTATCAGAACAGACCTGAGAGAGTAGGATCTGCTCAGCGAAGTTGCTATCTTGACTAATTGATTGATTGATTGGTTGATTAATTGATTAATCGCTGAATTCTTTTTTTTTTTTTCAGTCAATTGTCATTTCTGGACCTAACATCAGTCTGCACTAATTAGTAATTAGCGCTAATGCAGGATCGAGCGCTAAACCCTGATTAGCGCTAATCGAGCATTAGCATCACTAATACGTAGTAAGTGCTGGGGCCACTAATCTAAGTTGGGCGCTAATCTAATTAGCACTAACTAAGATTAGGTTAGGCAGCACTAATTTGTGGTAGGCACTAAGCTAGGTTAGGCGCTCATTAACTAAATGCCACCAAGGCAGCACTAATTTGTGGTAGGCACTAAGCTAGGTTAGGCGCTCATTAACTAAGTGGCACCTAAGATTAAGGCCGCACTAATTAGTATCTCGCCTAATTAGGGTTAGCGCGCTAACTGATTAGCGCTAATTAGGTTCTTCCGCGGCCTGGTTAGGTGGAGCGATTTGGAGTTAAAGTCGTAATTAGGGTTAATAAGGGGCTCACACGCTTGATTAACTACCAAATTAAGGCTCTAACTAATAGCGGGGGGTTATTCCTAATTACCTGCCGTCGTAACCCAAATCTGGGTTAAGTACAGTGCTTGCCCCAGGTGTCAACTGCAACTTGGGTGAAAGTTCATTTTTTTTTTTCCGTTTTTTCGCTCCAGCAGAAATTCGAAATTTTTTCATTTCTTTTCGTATTTGCAACAAGAGTTGAACTTTGGGAAAATTCGATTTGCGAATTGTAGCATTTCTGTGCTGTTTTTTTTTTTTTTTCAAATCTCGATTTTTCATAATTTCATTAATTTGTTTTATTTTTCTCTTCTTACTACCTCCGCAACAGTCTGGTACCTTCCAGCAGATTGATACCGCCAGGATAGGTACTCTGCTCAGCCCCACATAAAAAATATAAATAATAAAAAGTTGTCATTTTTTTTTTTTGCAAGTGTGGGAGGGAATTTTTCTTTATCGATTAGTACCCCACCTGTCGAAGAAGGAAGAGGGAAACTGCACTTGTGTGCATTTGCTTGCCTGCTTGGTTCCTCCCTCCCTACCTCTGCGTCTTGATCTCACTGGCTGGGTAAGTGCCACGGCAACAAGGGGTACCAAGTCAGCAAGGATTGGTAGGTGCTTTGACTCAACTCCACCGGTGCATGCCAAATTTGGCTCAATCACCTGGCGGTCATTGAAGGGGTCAACGTGGAGAACCTGCCCACCACCTTAATTGGGACACCATCACCGCCCAGTGGAAAGCACAGTGCAACGTGCAAGACACCAAGGCGAAGGGCTTCAACCAAGCGTTCCAAATGTTCCATGGGAGCCAGCCTACGCGCGATTGGTTGATGGAATGGCCATTCCAGACTTGAACTTGCCGTTCGAACACATTCGACGTGAGTTCTTCACTCGCTCGGTAGTTGCCATTCCGGACTTGGACTTGCCATTCCAAGGGAGCCAGCCTACGCGCGATAACTCTCCTTTACAACTGGGCGTTGTCATTCTGATCTTTCACAGTTCTCCTCCTCCTCCTCCTCCTCCTCTTCCTCCTCCTCCTCCTCCTTTTCCTCCTCCTCGTCTTCATCATCATCATCGTCGTCATCATCGCCGTTGTCCTCCTCTTCGTTGTCGCCGCTGTTGTCGTTATCACCTCTCTAATGCCCTTTTGTCAGTTATGAACTATGTCCAATCTATCTATAAGCCATCTCCTCTCTTTCGTGCTTTGGCACAGATGCCTGTTGCTTTCCTTCCCAACCCCCACTCCTCCATGATCTCCTCTTGCATACTAACTCCGTGTCACTCACAAACTGCCACAGCTAGTCCCCCAGCCATTCTCCTGTCTGCCTAGCCACTCCAGTAATGTGTCCCCCGTATCGTAGGCACCAGCTGTCGACTGCTGCAGTCTTTGCATATTGAGCGATCTACTGCCTGCAAATATATATTCTCCAGTTCTACGTGTGCCCAAACCGTGCCTGATCACGGTAACCCTTACCCCCCACAAGGAGCTGAGTTCTTTTGTTTACTGCGGCGAGGTCATTTCCAGACGCTGACCTCTAGGCCGTTTCCAACATATAGCGAAGTCACTGAACTCTCATGTTGCCATGAGAGGGGCCTCTCTATCTTAAGCTCACACAAAGAAATCCAAGGACTCCTTTATTTATCGTAGATAGGGGATGGTTGTCGGGATTCTGTTGTGGAACTTGATGATCCACAAGCTTCACAGCTGGCATCCCACACCTCACCCATTGCACATTTGGGAAGTTGACGAGGCACCCATCGACAAAATTCGATCATTCAAATGTTGTTTTAAACAACAAATTGGACCATTCGCGAGTTGTGTGTATTGCCCTCGTGCAGGGGCTATGTTAAATCTTCTTCCTCTGTATCGTTCCTGACCCTCAGGGGATAGGCGGTCTGTTTTTCAAAACTTCTAAAGAGCTTTTTCACTCAGATTCTTGGATCATTTTGAAATTTTGGAACTCAATGAAATTCTGGAAAAGTTACATGTGGAAATGGTGGATTTTCTATAGCGCATCCAGGCTGTCCTAATTCTTGTCCCGATCCTTGGCTCATAGCCATGGTGGTCCCAAATCAGCCAAAGATCGGGACAAGAATTAGACTCGGACACGATCTCTGTTTTTTTTTTTTTTTTTTTTTTTTTTTTTTTTTTTTTTTTTTTTTTTTTTTTTTTTTTTTTTTTTTTTTTTTTTGGTGTGTGTGTGTGTGTGTGTGTGTGTGGTTGTTTCGTGTTCAGTCCTTGGCATTTGGCAGCACGCGGTCCCGGTTACCTCGCTTTTCCATTTCTAATGATAAATTACAGAGATGAAAGGTGAAGTGGCACCTCGGCCCCTAGGATTTCTTTTTCTGTTCTCTTCAGGTGCCCAGCTGTTTGTATGTTGCACTTTTTTTGCAGCCATTCATTGGGTCCTTAATACTTCTTACCAATTCCTTCACTGGTTGTTCCTTTCTCTTGGTCTTCTCGTTTTCCTTCGGTTGACGATGCCAATGGATTGGTGGGTGCTTTGACGATTTTCTTGCAGGTGGCAGCTATTGCATGGGTGGCCGATTGGTTTTCCGTTCCAGTGATCGCCATCAAAGCGGTGACAGATATAGTGGATGACAATCGAGTCACTGAGGAGGAGTTTCTACGAAATCTGGGAGCGGCAGCAAGGGCGTTACAGAGAACAGTCTCCGAAGCCGTCCACTTCATCGTCGGGAAAACTGTAAATGAATTGTAATTATGATTCTGTTGGTTGCAAAGCTGGCGATGAAGCCACGACAGTGCTGCTCACAGGTTCTGTTGCTTTTTTAAAAGTTGTTAACGTTTCAAGCTAGCACTGCCCCTGCACATAGTTTGCCTAACTTCTCTCTTCTCTCCTTTCCCCCAGCCCTGACTTGCTCAACCTGAGTCTTCGGCAGTTTGCCTTGTTCATGCCCCAGAAGGCTCAGAATAGCAGAGAGCCTAAGAGTCCGGCCCCCGCTGGTGTTATTATGTCCATGCTTAGAAAGCATGAATATCTGCCTGTAATAGCGGCCTTGTTCATGCTTTCAGAACCGAAACGTACCCGCAGTGGGGCGTAATCCTAATTTTCTGCCTCGCAACCAGCGGATGCTGTCCTGGTCCCCAGTCTGCCGCTGAAGGCATGTAGCTGCAGGGTTTTCTGTTTTTCAAGGCCTGCCATCAAAATAGTGTGATGCCTGCAGGCCTCCACAGGGGACCACAAGGAAGACCAATCTTCAGCGCCCTTGTGTACCTGCAGGAAAATTTGCAGGGCAGTTGTGGTTCAAACTTCAAACCACTGGTCCCTTTCCCAGCTAATTTGTTCCAACGCCACCATACCCGGTAGGACCAAAATGGCTGGCAGCTCTAAGCAAAAAGAAAATAGATTGCAACTTTGTGCCTGCGTCGGTTCGTTTTTTCGTTGGCACACAGCAGCAATCTAGGTCGCAGAAAAGAGACTCAGAGCGGAACACAGTTGTCGTTTGAGCGCTGCTGGAAGTGGTCAACGGCCATATTTCAGGATAGATCAGATGTTGGTCGCCGCCAATTTCAGAGGTAGAAGATTCTGATTGTGAAGTTAGAATTGCAGGGGCCGTCCCATAATGCTTCCAACGGTAATGTTTCTTGATTTTGTTGACCTTTCACCATGGACCGGCCATGGAGTACAGTGTATTAACTTAAGGATATGTATTATGTACTGTAAAGAATAACAAGGGAAGGCCTGTTGCGGCACCAATTTAGGAGTGGCCGTCGTTCCAGGGTGAGAGAGAGAGAGAGAGAGAGAGAGAGAGAGAGAGAGAGAGAGAGAGAGAGAGAGAGANAGAGAGAGAGAGAGAGAGAGAGAGAGAGAGAGAGAAAGAGAGAGAGAGAGAGAGAGAGAGAGAGAGAGAGAGAGAGAGAGAGAGAGAGAGAGAGAGAGAGAGAGAGAGGTGGTCGTTTGTCATCTGATAGAACTTCAAACCCCTTTTGAAATGCGAAACCCGTCCTCCTTATGTGACCCAGTACGTTCTGCTTCTCCATTTGCAATCGATTTTCCGCCTGCTGCTCCTATGTGATGTCAAATCTGCCCCCTTGTCCGCTTCGTACTGCCATTCCCACATTCTGGACTGCCTACCCCCCCCTTCCCCTGTTCTCTTCGCTTTGGGATTATCATTATCTACCTCCTCTGTCTTCCCCATCTTCCTCTTCCTTCTTTCCTCTTCCTTTGCATCCATTCCTTCCACGGTATTCCATTCTCCCTCGTCCTTCTTTCCTTCTGATCCCTTCGGCCGTCTTCCATTCTCGCTCTTCCTTCTTCTCCCTCCCTTCGTTGCAATGCCTCTCTCTTGCGTCCGTGGCCTCTGTTCTAGCCTTGATCCTGTGGAGTTGTTGTGGACTAATCGGCGCACTGTTCTCTGTCAACTTTGCCTTGCATTTGTGTCCTCACAGCAGAGCTCAAATTGCATGCGGAAGTGTTCTGTGGTGCAGATTTCGTCTGGGCGCTTACGTCAAAGATATTGGAATCTAACCGAGGAAAACAAATGGCTGCTGGCCTGAAGTTCAGGTTTCGCAAAAGAGCCTCGTGTTGCAACCACCACTGCTGCCAAGCCCTCTTTTCTTTTTTGCCAAATGTGAGTCGATTCGATGTCCCAGGCCTGACTACGGAGTTTCCTGAGCACCGGTGTTAGGAGTGCGAGCGGGCGGTCATAGGAGCAAAGGCGTGCAATTGAGCGGAAGCCGTCAAATCCTTGCAGACTATGCCACTAACCAAGAACAGGACGAATTGATCAAAACTGACGCCGCAGTGACGCGACAGACAGCCACGTGCACATGCACAACAACTGATCCAGACGAGCGCTCGAGTATTACGAATTCAAGATCATCATGATACGCTCCGCCGTAATTAAGTGTGGGTGTGGTCAACGATTCGGTTCATGCCATTTCGTGGAGCATTGTAAGACCGCCATCGACTCGATCATAGCGAGCACTCTCCAAAATTGTTACAGTGTGAGTTAGTGGCCCATTGCGGAGCTCTCGAACGGAAGTGTGCATGCCATTAGCTAGCTGCCTGGGCTGTTCTGCAGGCAAAAAGGGAACTGGGTATCCACCTGGTTATGCACACAGTCGGGAGACCGCCGGTCCAACAAGGTGAGTGTGTTCAGCCAAAAATGGGGAGGAGTAATATTATCTGGAAATATTATACAAACGTCAAACCGGGCGTCCTGGAAATCAAGTAGGAAACTAGGCTACCAGAGTGGCCGGGGTCCACTTGCCCGGCCGGGCCAAAAAGAAATTTAAAAAATCAAAAAATGATTTAGAAATAAAAAAATAAAATAAAAAATTTAATTTATTTTTTAATTTTAAATTTGGTAAAGAATTTCGATGTGACGCAGAGGCAAAAGTTGTTCAGTTTATTTTTCTGCATAACATAGTTTCCTTTTCGGATTTTTTTTTTTTTTTTTTTTTGGGCTATGACTTTCCGTACTAGTCCTTGCACGGCCGGGCCACCCGGGAAAGTAGGGTGACCCGGGCGGCCCGGCTGGTAGCCTAGGTAGGAACACATCAACTGGCAAAATAAAATAGTGGCGCTTGTGGTCTCATCGGTTGCGGTCTAGGCTGGCCAGCTATAGCCGCCCAGGTGCAGGATCATACTACAGAGGTTCAGTGCACATCCAAAACTTGGGCTATAGTCTCTATAAAAAGAATGGGTGGAGGGCAAAGCAAGCCCACCCAGTTTGGCCACAGTCAGAAATAGCCCCTATTCAAAGGCATGCTGGCTTATACACAATCAGTATGCGGATCGTGGACATCATGCACGCCTTATAGGGTAGGTGCATTATGGCAGGGCTACTTTTGTCTCTCACCAACTTCAGCACACCATTACCTAGGATTGCCCTTGGAATCGGAATAGCGGATATTAAATCACCAGTACGTCCGAAAGTCACAGAGCTAAACAAGCCTCGATGCGCTGGGCCCAATGGGCCTGGCAGCTCTGGTGCAAATTCATTGGAGTGGAAACTTTGTGGCTGTATTTTTTCCCGCAGCCAACGTATGGGGGAAGCATCGGTGGTTTAAGCCAAACTCGGCACAAAAGACCCTTATACTTGCAGCACCTGTTACAGCTGTACAGAGCCAACACTGCTTTCTCCACCTTTTTTTTTTTTTTTTCCTGGAAGTCCAGGTTGTTGTAGAGGCTGGCTACTAGAAATATGGCAGGCCTGCCAGCACTTGACCATTTGATCATCCCAATGTATTGCCTAACCGGTCCCTTATGAAACGCCCTCCCGCCGTCATTCATCATCACAATCCCCGACGCATCCCTACTCTCAAGGTCCAACCTGATTGTACCGAGGGTCATCAGACTCATCACCCATTGTACTGTATTCTCACTCCTGATGTAGCCTAATGGGTCGTAAAATGGGTCGTAAAATGTGTCCAGGAAGTATATATATCCCGAGGCTCAGTCCTGTGACCGATGGTGTTGTTCTTTACCAACCATTAGGTTGGGCCCCTGATCCACCATTTGTGGGTCTGCCCCCAGACCAACCATTTTCGGGCCGTCTTCCTTCTTCGCCTAAATCACGCACTTTTAGGTTTCCTACATGGACCTCCGTTGTGTGTTATAACGACCTTGAGCTTTGAATTTTCTCTTTGTCAAGGTCAAGTAGTTCCGCGCGGCCTTCAGGAGGCATGGGGAGGTCTGATAGTTCAACCTTGATATTAACCCACCTGTGCTTTCGTCCCTTCCCCTGCCATGCCTCAAAATGCACTGTGTACGGGGAAAACATGGTGCCGCCAGCCATTTTGCTCCGGTAGGCCAACCTCTGAAACTTGCAGCTGCATGCACGTCGCATCGGAGAAAAATGCTCGGGAAACGTACTTGTGGTTTGAGGTCATCTCGTCGTTCTCACTGGCTGTGCATATGGTGGCGAAGAGTAGCTATTTGGTTGGGGATGTGCCACAATGCAGTTTGTGTCATGCGGATGAGGATGAGGAGTACTCTCTCCACTAGCTTGGGCTGCACCTCTCTGCATGTACAGCTGCAAGACAGCCTCAGTGGAGACCCTTTTCTGGGGTATTAGTGGCGCAGACTCTAGCGCATTTTGATATATCGACAAATCTGATAGGTATGTTAGAGTTGGTCAGATGATGCTGAGGTCTTGTGGCCCCAGGGCAGTGCTGGCACGAAATCCAGTAAGCGATTATCTTGCCCCCTCTCCTTGACAGCTTCATCCCCTGCTGTACGGAAGCACATTCGAGTCCATGGATTGTCATTGGAGTGGCGGCCTTACGTGTATTAGCGAGGACATCTGCAAACTCTGAGTTGTCAGGATGCCACAGGACTGAGCCTTGGGATATACTTACCTGGACAGTAGAATGGTTAGGCAAAGCTCGGAAGACCGAAGCGCAAAATCGCTCAGTAGTTCAAGCAGGCACAGTGAAGCCTTAGAAAAAAGAGGCTTGGGTGTGTTCATGGTTGAAGTCATGGTCACTCGCATCCTATACCAATGAAAATCATACCACCTTTTGAGCATTGCTCCCGTGCCAAGTGGCACAGTGTAATGGCTCCAAAGATTATTGTTGGGTTAGCATGGTATTGTAATGTGTTCTGTAATTCGAAGAACCTGTTTCATCCTCTTCCCATCATGTATGTGGACGAGCATACCCATGCAGCAACGGAATATATTTTTTTGTCAGTTGAACTTATTTCCATATTTATTTACTCGCGAAAATTTACGTGAGAAAACAAGAGTCTTTCTCGACCGTTTTTGTTGCGACGGCAGCATGAACACACCACGTCCTTCAGGGCTGCATCACTCTCTGGATCTGCAAGAAAACCTTGGCCTACTAAATCAAAATGATTGATGATACTGGCAAAAAGCCAAACAAAAAGATTGCCATGGTTTGTTTTCTTGCTCAATGTACAGTACAAATCTTCACCACAAAAGAACAGATCGGAGTTATTGGTGGTTTAAACTTTAAACACAATTTGATGTAAGTTTTCAAATTAATGATAAATTTATTGCATTGTCTCTCTACTTCACTATGATAAATACGTTGATGTTTGTAAGCGTCCTTCCATCATAGATTTACTAAATAAATCTACAACCTTTAAGTTGGAACTTCCTATTTGAATTCTCGTGGGATGTAATCCAACAACAAAAAATGAACCTTTAAAAAGTATGGGTATGACTAAGACCCCACGTCTTGAGTCGTAGCGAAGAACTTATAACCAAGTGTTGCTGGAAATAAACATGACATTTAGTATTATTTTAGTAATATGTTGTTTATTCCTCATGAACAGAATGAATAGAACATACCTCAAATAAACTTTAATTTTAATTGAATATATTCTTGAACTATTATGAAGGGGTATCTAGTAGCCATGATATGTTCTATTATCTTTATGAGGCAACTATTGTCACTTGTATGCCGAATGAAAAACATATTGTAACGCTACCACAGTTACCCGGGTCCACTTGCCTGGCCGGGCCTAAAAAAATAAAATGAAAATATCTAATGTTTCCACTCACAAGTGTATTTCAACTTAAAGTAACTAGATTTGTAATAATAAAGAACATATAGCTCAGTACCTTTATTGTTATATATATATATATATATATATATATATATATATATATATGAGTTGGTGAAACTTCGACGAAACAGTTTGTCACAGCCCCTCGTTTGTTGTCCTCTTCTCTCTCTCTGCCTACGGTTTACCGGGCAATTCAATTTGTGACGATACAGGGTAATTGG